CCGCAACTACGTTCAAAATATAAATTTGGCGATATAACTTAAGTTCTCTGTTGAAGGGTAGCTCAAGATATTTATGGAATTTTGTGATCATCATGTTATGTATATGTATGTATATATCTTACTGTTAAAAATGGAAACGATAACTAATAACTGAGCTATTTCTTTTTTGGCGGAAAAATATATGATTATAAATCAAATTGAAATGCTGGTGGAAAGAAATGAAACACGGTAAACACTTCTGTGTTGGGAGAGAGTGTCAGTTTTACTAAAATTTCATTAGACGTACATGTACTAAACATATTACGTCAGTTCAATGCAATGATTGTTATTCTTCAGGAATGGGATGAGTAGACTAACTCTTGGGTTCATTACCGATACCCCAATCATTTATCATTTAAATGAATGTTCACGATGAACGCCTAGAAAATAAATTCATCGTATACGCTTTAATTAGCCTGCATCTGTATCTCAGTGTTGATTTAGTCCATCTGATAACTGTTTAGTCAAAGTAGAAAATTACGTTGTTTTTTTACAGATCTAAATAATGCATCTTCAAGTTGAATAACGATAATTAAAAAAAAAAAAAAAAAATGCTTACGTCCCACTATTTGTAAACTATAAATCGCTTTCATTACTGTCGAGTCACCCGATCCGTAAACACTGTGACAACCGTTTCAATGGCAGATGGTCTATGTGGATTCTCCCAATTAAACAAATATAACCTCATTTCTTTAAAGTGACAACAAACTTGTACTTTTCGGAATAACTTGACCTTAATCATACTTATGGCTAAATTATGTACATATTTAACATTTGATCAATTGTTTAATAAGCATATTAATTTTGAAATTCTAACAGTTTAGGCTTCGCTTAATAAATTACTTTCAAAAAATAATTCTCCTTGAAACATGTAAAATAGACGCTATTTTAGTAGTCTACTAATTTGAGAAGTGTAATTTTTAATTATAAATTTGTTTAAATTACACTGTGATTTAAAGTAGTCAAGTTGGGCTTCTGATATCCAATATTTAAGACAAAATGAAAATTTTAAAATTGGCAGACGAATCGGGTGCCAGAATGCTTTTCAGTGCCATATGTAGTGAAGCGACTCGATGAACGAGGCTAACCATATCCCACAGGAGAATACTACCAGTGTACACTGGAGTAACCAGACGCCAAAGACTGCCATTCAATTTAGACTCTTCGCGTATTTTGCCGAACATAAATGATTAGAAATGATACTGTAAAAAGTGAAACGATTGAATGTAAATCAGTTTATATACATTCATATATAATCACTGGGTTATAACTGTATGCAAAAACTACCAATTTACAAATCATGAAGATTTAGCTGCTTTCATTCAATTAGTTTAACGAATACACCTTTAAAAAAACATACTCAACACTTGGTTTTCTTGTTTGTTATATTCAAAATGAAATATATTTATTTTCTTGGTCAGTGAGATCATGCCGCTTTAGATAAAATGGCTGTTAATTAGTGGCGTTCCACATCAGGTCTTGCTTAAAGGATATTGAGCATTAAAAAAATAAAACAACATAATTTCATATTTATAATATCCCAATAAACAGTCCCTTTTGTGGGATTCTCATCCAAACGACGATGTTTGAACATAATAAAGCGCTAAACATACGCCAATTATATATACTTACCAACTATATGTACATCATTTCAGGTTTTGATAAAAAAAAAAGAATTTTTCGCTTGCAAAAACTGTTTTCTTTGTGTTACAGATTACAGAGGGGATTGTTTATTAATATATATTTAAGTTTTATGGAAACCATGTTGAAAATGGTTGGTCTAGCCCATAGATAGCCTCTTTAATAGGATATCTATGGTCTCGCCCTTTAAGAGAGGCTGGATAATTAAGTCTTATTTCTTATGGAGTTATTTCCCTTCTGAAACTCTTGAAAAATAGAAGTCTATAAAACGACCGTGGGAATTACGCGGATATTTACAAAAAATTATTTTTTTTAGAGCTGTATGGACAGGTAAAATCTCTTGGTTTTAATATCAAATCTATCTCCGGCTAGACTTACCTTCTCGTAAATAAATCTCAAAATCGCCATCTCATTATTTGGGGCTCAACTTCAGCATTGGTATCCCTATTATTAAAATGATACTCAACACAAAATGAACTAACAATAACGTCCAAAACCCCGGGCCGTCAGATTTTTTATTAACATTTTTATTGGTTATCACATGATTAAAATTAAATGTAAAATTCCATCAATTAGCAATTACCAATTATTAGGGCGATTTACCCAATACCGCTACACTACATGATGTAGGTCATTCATTGTGAAGACCTATATTGGGGATCACGTGGCCAAGTGGGTAAGACACTGACTCGCTAGCCTGGAGGTCGGGTGTTCGATCCCTGCATTGGCCGAGAAAGTTCATCCAGATTTTCCGGCGTAGTTTCCCCTTGTCAGTGATGCAGGACGGATGGCCTGACAAGGACAGCTGTCTAGTCATTCGGATGATACGAAAAACCGAGGTCCCGTGTATACATTGGAATGCACGTAAAAGATCCCTTGGCAGTTGGAATTCGATATAAGAGTAGGCGATAATGCCGCTGCCCGGGCAAAATTTCCCTCATAGCACACTGTATGGCGTATGCCCGTCTTCATTAGCCCAGTATAGGTGCAGAACAGTAGGACGTTAAACCCCATTTCATTTCATAATAATAATGTAACAGTTTAGACTTATTTATACTCTATAGGAGCTTTTACGAGTTTCCCTTTTGACATCATTTTCGGTCATGCGCAGACCCTGGCCTTATTCGTAGACAGAAACTCATAGGCCAGTGTGTGTTTTTTTGTGAAAATACCGTCGTACAGTAAGCTTCTTTTACATAAAATGTAACTGAACGCCATTTCTATATACGCGTAAGGTTTACCGACCGATGCCAGAAAGCGATATTTACAAAAACTTCGATATAGGAAAGATACGGCAAGTTTACCAGACCCGTAATTGGCCGTTTGCAATTGAGGAAACAAGTAAATGACTGATCCGTGCTCATGGCTCGAACTAGAATTAAGTCAAGTTTATTACGCATTTTACAGTCAAACAGATATATATATATTAATTACAGGACTATTGACACAAAAGATTTAAATGGCCTATCCTATTTACATTCAACTGCCGACTGGACAGTTCTTTGCGAGGTTGATCTATCATCTGCTATAGCATTGCATGCTACCCTACTCGACACAAAACACGGTACTATGTTGGTCTTTGAGGCTGTCGACTTGAAAATAATTCCAGCTAATAATACTATAAATAGTATGCAATATGCAAATAAGATTGTTTATGCATGCTGTTAGCCAATAGCTATTGTAAATTTCCCCGCGTTTAGACGGCTCTAACCAATGATAAAATAGTTGTTTGGTGCACGGGGTTAAACTTCAGCCATTTTTATAAATTTTCCTCTTGATGGGATAAAACGACGATCAAGTTGAATCTGTGAATATTTTTTAAAACCGTTTTTTTCTGTTAATTGTCGCCACATAAATCGTCTTGGCTCAGCTTTTTGGCACTCAGTGAAATTTTAATCCAATCAGTTTATCTTGCCGCAACCAAGAAGAACGATACATTTGTGTCCATTTTATCAATTTCTAATTCAGTACGTATTTGGTTCAGAGAACAACTATTGAATGAAAATATGTAACTGGACTCGGTGCATTCTATACATCGTGATTATTATTTGTTCTCTTTTTTATAAGATGTGCTACGGTCGTGCTTAAATTTTGATATCGTCTTGAATAATTCTTTCGTGGAACCGCAGGTCACCATCTCTAACCCATTCTATTATTTACTCTTATGCTCTATTTCATGGCATTTTACAACCAAACAGATGTTATCTATTAATTGTTTGTAGTAAAATTAAAACAAAACATATAAATCGGCTTCATACAGCAATGCATCTTTGTAATGCTTTTGCGTACTGCGGTCAACTGGACCGTGTGCGAGCTTGAGATATATCGTCTGCTACAACGCAGTATATCGTCAATAAAACAAAACAAAAATTATTTAGACACGATTTGAAATTGGTAATTTATGACGAATGCTACACGCAACTTACAACAAGAGTGGCATTCAAGAATACTTTTTGTATAAGGAGAAAAAGAGGAAAAAACCCATTTTCCCTAGCATTTACCATGTTAAGACCCGTGTTGAAAAAGGCCAGGCTAAAAATAGACACCGGAAATACGTCATGCGTAAAAGCTCCTATAGGTTAAATCCCGCTGGTAGTACCGAACTCCATGGAAAGGTGGAAGTAGTCCCGTCTATCCTGACGGACACCTGTATTATATAAGGCAAATGCCAAAATCACAACATTAATTTATTAATTTAAGTAGTAGTACTAAGGTAGGCAAGTCATTGTGAAGAACTAACAGTTTAGACTTATTCAATAAAATAATAAAACTCAAATGTAAATATTCAAAGATCACAGTAGTACTTGTAAATATTGGTAGAGATTCTGTTGGCAAATCTGTGCCTTACATTATCACATGCCCCAGCAATGTCAGTAACATGTGCTGCCTTATTTGCATGCTTGACATGGATGGTTTCATTGGGTGCCAGTTAACTCACCCACATGCAAACTCGTCCACGGTTAAGTTGTCCACAACCATTGGTTAAGTCGTCCACAAGGTATTAGTTATGTTGTCGACAACTAATGGTTGTTATTATTGTTACAGCATATTTATAGTGTACCCTTTCATATCACATCTTCAGGGGTACTTTACCATGCAGGAAATGTTTGGGGCCATGCAACAAACTTATACACCATGAGTGTGTGGATGACTCAACCAAAGTATTATTTTCATATTTGTGGACAACTTAACTAGCCTTTTCAGGTGGACGAGTTTGCTTGTGGTCGAGTTAACTGGCATTAATCCCCCATCTAATTACATGTACATGTATACAGTGATTAGTAAATTGTCAGAATTGATGTTTTTATTTTTACATTGTAGGTTAAGATGAGTTCCTCCACTGGTGCCACTGTCAGGAAGAAAACAGAAACAAGAGTTGCAGATGTGGCTGAGAAACTAAAAGACTGGGCAATAAATGAAATGAAGTTTAATCCACAAGGGAAATATGTTAATTCTAAACTTCCTGAATATGATGATTTCAAAGAGTAAGTTTGACATGTCTTGTTGAATTATTTCCAACTATTAAGAGAGCATTAAACTGGCATTCTGGATTCTCTTGTTAAATCATCTCTACAGTAAATGTGCAGTATACCCATGTTCTGTATGCTCATTTTTCTGGGGATTTTAAATATGTAAACATGTAAGGTACGATTGTGCTGCAGCGATCTAGAAAAATCGGAATAATGCAATATTTTACTAATGTGTGGTTAAACATATGGTACAGCATTAATTGATAACTCATTATTTGGGATCAGGTGTGAAATAAATTAGATAATAAATAAAATAAAAACTATTGGCAAGAATTGTATTTTTCTTTCCTTCATCTAATCTAGTGGGTTTACAATTTCTGAGATACGTACATGTATGCATACAAGTGAACTACAAAGACAGCATGTTCAACTAATTAAGCACATGATCATTGATAGGCATAATTGACAATTTGTAGGTCTGACCAATAATGTGTAATTTATTTTTCCTTTTTGTTTACGTTTTTCTTTTTCAATGTGTATGTCAGAATGTTTTAAAATGTACATTGTGTTACATTATGATTATATTAATTTCATATACATCTATTTATTCTTGTAGTATCTGTCGAGGACCAATGGCTGAAATCTGGAAATTTGTTACAGATAATGTTTATTCTGTTCAGTAAGTAGGCTTATATTATAATTATCATTACTAAATCTTTTGTACGGGTACTTTTGTACAATATGCAAGGGTTTGTCACATTATGGATTCAGCAAACACTTTACAGTGAAGAATCAGTTTGCTAATTATTGAGAATACATACCAGTGTGGTTTAGAGCAGGACACAGACCCTGCATACAATTTCAGTAAATTTAAATAGCACTGGTGAATCAGTGTGATATTTCAATGTAAAACCATTGACCTAATGTTCAAAAAGAAAATTGTTCTCAAAAATTTAGCTAGCTCTAGCTAGTGAAGCTTTTTACAGGCAACCTACATGTATTGTGTCTCTTGCCAAACTAAAAAATGTATCAAACTGAGTTAATTGTATGAATTTTGTAATTTTGTTTTCTTATTTTTTTGTAGAACAGTGAAAAAAGTGAAAGGAAACCTGGCCTTGTATCCTTTAAGATTATACACAAACAGATTTATGATTAAATTCCTTATTAATAATAACAGGTGTCATGTACATGTTTTAGACAGTGTATGCTTATTATAATAAATTCATTATTTAATCTGGATAAATATATACATCTTCATTATTTCCACTTAATAAGAATTTTAGAAAAGGTCATCAAAGGCACAGAAGATATGCTGTTCAGCTTCAACCGGGGTCGAAGTTCAATGAGAGGAAGGAAGAGTTGTTTGAAGAGAGAACCAATTTAAGCGGTCAGGTCACTAATTGTAACTCTGATGTCAAACATCTAGAAAATGATTTACATAGACTAGAAAAAGATATTCTTAGGACAGGTAAAATATGAGTTGTTTTTTTAAAGGTTTGATGAATGAAGCAGGAAATTGTTTACCTTTTCATGATGCATTACATGTATGCTTATTGAGGCAAAGTATCACTACTCTTACTTGAATAGACATCATATACATGTATTAAGACCACGTACATTAGAAATTGTTTGTTATATGTTTTTGCATGTCTCAGTTAGTAAGACACTAACTCATGATCTTCCAGTCTTATTTTACTTTATCAATTTGGTGCATGACAAGGAAAAGTGTCTAGTTGTTCCATTTCTTCTTGACAGTTGGACAAATTTCCCACATAGGACTCTTTATTATTATTAGTCCAGTTCATGCAGAAATGTAAGACATAACCACACTTCATAACATAACATTTAGCTATATGCTTTCAACATGTCATGTGTCAAGTCATCAACTTTTTTTTGATTGTATACACTCACTATTTTGTAATAAATTTGAGTTGATGAATGTGTTTATTTTTTTTTTTAGAACATGAATATAAATCAACTGTGGATGAAGTAGAAGATTTAGATAAAAAATCATGTTTATTAGAAGTTTTCTCCAGACAATGCAGTGAAACAGTTTTAAATTACGACAACTTCAGTGAGAAAATACAGGCCAAGGCCAAAGCCATTACGGAAAAATTACAGTATGTCATACTTTCTTTTTTTATTGACAAATATAGTTCTATGAACAAGTCAGAACAGATCCTCAGTTTGAGTTCAAGAAAGATCTCCACTGCTAGCTACCATTGTTATATAACACACAGTCGTAGACAGTTGTCAAAAACAGATGTCTGACCCTGAGTTCACAAAGTTAAGAATTTACTCAAAATTGTACGCCTTATTGTAACTGAATATAGCCCTTTTTAAAACTTTTGTTGTTATAATGTATCAAATACATCAATCAGAAACTATGTGTAAAGTTTTGTGTTTCTTGATCAAAGATATTTCTCATAAACAGTGATCGAAAGTTCAGTAAATTCTTAACTTAAGTCTGAGAATGCTTTGTGAACTTGTCACCTGGGTGTATACCATTGACATTATGTTAAAGATCCCACGCAGGTTGGAAATCAAAGTAAGGGTAAGATGAAGCGTCACTGTCGGAGCAAAATTTCACTCATAGCATGCGACCTGGCCTATGCCCTTCTTCATTAACCAAACTGTTGCATTTGTTACATATATTTTGACTGTACTGACTCTATTTGTTTCATATGTTTTGACTCTTTTCTTCTGTACTGACTATTCAACTATAATTTTACTGTACAGGCTCTATTTATACTGTACTCACTCTGTTTGACTATTTTTACTGTTTTCACTCGATTGGACTCTTATTTTACTTTATCAATTCTATTTTTACTTTACTGACTATTTCACTGCAGTTTTACTGTACTGACTATGTTTTATTGTAGTGTTGAATCATCTGGTCAACCATTATTTGTCACCAAATCTAAACCATGTGATACAGGTGATAAAGGTCTGGAAACTGTCAGTGCTGTAAGTATAATACAAAAATTATTTTTAACAACATGCTTCTACACTTGTGCATAGGAGAGGTGGGGGAGTGGTCTTACACATGGCTTTAGATCAGGTGGTCAGTCAAGGAGTAAAATGTTCTAGTTTCAATCCCAGAAAAGAAAGCCCTCCTTACCAAGTGGGGTTTCTGTAGATCCTCTGGTTTCCTTCCACTGAACACATAAGTGGATTATTGCAATAACCGGTAATGGGATTTATGTCTTGTTTATTGAAATGAAGATATACAATATATACAATCCAAAATTGAACTAGTTTATATAGACTGAAGTTAAAGCCCATTTTTCATTCTCTCACTGGTTGTGTATGTTAATTGGTTCTGTTTGTGTGTGTGTTTGTTAATTAGTACTGTCTGTTGGTTTGTATTATTTTTTGTTACTGTCCGTCTGTTTGTACTATCTATTTGTTGTACTCTCTTTTTTTGTATTCTTTGTTTGTACTGTTTGTTTTGTAGTGTTTGTACTATCTGTTTTTTTGTACCGCCTGTTTGTACTATCCGTTTTTGGGTTGTTTTTTTTAGTACTATCTGTTTTTTTAGTACTATCTGTTTTTTTGGTACTATCTGTTTTGTTTTGTACTGCCTGTTTGTTTAAATGTCTGTACTGTATGTTTGCTTGTACTGTCTGTCTGTACTGTGGTCATCTTATTGATATTATTCTGTTATAAATTTACAGGAAATTCAAATGATTTATTTTATTGTTATTTTATTTATTTCTATTCAGAAAAATGTTCGTGAAACGTGTGAAAAACTTGAAGGTTTTTTTAATGAAACGTTACAAGGTTCTTTCACTTCTGATAAAACTACTTTGTAAGTACTGAATACAATTACTCTTACCTTGTGCTTGAAAACGATAAGAGAACACTTGTCAATATGTTGTGGAATATGTGTACACACTTGTGATTGTTATTTTTTATATAAATTGTGTTGTATTTTTCATATTCAAAAAAACTTAATCTAAAATAGTTTAAGGATGCAACCTTTTGATTGGCTACAAGCTAAAATTAGTGCTAAGATTTCATTTCTCTTAAAAAAAAAAAAAGTTTAGTAGATGTTTTCATGAATAATTAAGGTTTAGTCTGTGTTTGGCAATAACTTATCAGTCCTCTAAAAATCTTGCGAATAAGACCCCATGCTTAATCAGCGTCCTAATGAAGTGTTTGTATAAATTATGTTTTAATCTGAATTCCAGTCATCAAAATAAAGATCAGTTATGGAGTGACGTAGAGCGAGTTTTATCAGAGTTTAGAACACAACAGATAGTCAGTTCTTTAATAACAAATACACAAGATGCTACACTCAGTCTTCGAGATAGAACAAATAAAATAAACATCAGAAAAGATGCAGAAAATTTAAGGTGAGTTAAAAAGTGGAGCATTTTCATTTATCTGATTAATATTTTTCATCATGTTCATCATCTCTTCCTTCGTCTTAAAAAATTTGTTGTTGACACTCAACAGACTACATTGATTATGTGATTGTTTATCATTTTATACATGTTGTCTACATTAGTAAGACGTTGGCTTGCTAACCTAGAGGTCCTGTGTTCGAACCCGGTGTTGGCCAAGAAAGTTCATCTGGTTTTTTGTGGACATGGTTCCCCCTTGTCTGTGGGTTAGGACTGGGTGTCTTGCAAGGGACAATGTATAGTCATTCGTGTGAAACAGAGAACCCAGCTCTGCTTTAGTGCCACTGTAATGGCAAAATTTCCCTTATAGCACACTGTATGGCATATGTATGTTTTTATTCTCCCAGTTGGAGCAGAAAAGTAGGACGTTAAACCCCATTTCATTCATTCATTCATGTGCATATAATTTGTTAATTGTAGATTTCAGTATGAACAAGGGGAGTTAACTGATGTATCATTGCCTTCAACTGCTCTACATAGTGTTAGACAATTAATAGAGGTATGTTACTTTTTATATCATTTCTAAAATGGGGATGGGGTGATGCATAAATACATTTTGTAATGTGTTTGCTTCGTCAAAAAGATCTGTTAGAGTTATATACCACAAAACAGCTTTATTTTGGTTGAGCTTGGGTTTTGGCATGTCTGGTAAAGTAAATGCATTTGACAACCCAAAGGGATGGCAATCTTTCTAATGGGGATATACACGTTATGTTATAATATTTATATTAGCAATGATCTTCCTGAGTAAATGGAATGAAGCTGATTACCTGAAATTACCAGCTACATTTCACTAAAACTGTGATGTTTGAAGCATTTTCACATCATCTTGACTGTTGTTTTATATGAAACCATATCAACATCTTTAACATAAATAAAATGCTAATTCAAATGGACATAAGTTCTTCATAAGTTTATTGAATTTAAGCTTGTGACCAACTAAAGCATCTGAAGCATGCACACAGCCATAAGCGTACTTAAACTGCAAAAATTCAGCTTTTTATCCTTAAAAAGGATTTTTCCTACATTTCAACACTATGATGTCTGTTGTTATCAGATTACTTACATTTTTCTTGTTTGATGATGTTTGTGTTTATTTCACAGGAAGGTCAAGTAAAACATGTCAACAGATTTTTTGAATCCGAGAAATATAAGAATCAAGCATGGCGGAGCAGACAACAATTGGAAGAAATAAAACAAAATATTGATAAAATACTTGTACAGAAATTTCAGGATAAACCTGGAGAATTGCAGTTAGCAAGGTAAGAAACCCAATATTTAACCCAATAGTAAGATACCTTGAAATAAACTATTTGGCCTTCTTGTTTTATTATGGTGGTATGAAATCAATGGAAACTTGAAATTGCCATATTTTAAGTTAGAATTCTTCCATTTTTGCTCCATGATTAGCCTTTATTCTGGCATCTATGGACTTTAATATAGTATGTACATGATGGGTCTTTGATATAGTATGTATACATGTACATGGTAGGGCTTTAATATAGTATGTACATGTTGGGGCATTAATATAGTATGCACATGTTGGAACTTTGATATAATATGTACATTTTGGGGCTTTAATATAGTATGTACATTTTGGGACCTTGATATAGTATGTACATTTTGGGACTTTGATAAAGTTTATGTAAATTTTGGGATTTGATAAATTTTATGTACATGTACATGTTGGGGCTTTGATAAATTTTATGTAAATTTTGCGACTTTGATAAATTTTATCTACATGTTGGAGCTTTGATAAATTTTATGTACAATGTACATGTTGGGGCTTTTGTATACAACAGGTTTATGTTGGGGCTTTAGTACAGGGGCTTTTGTATATAGTATATTGGGAACTTAAATGTACACTGTAGTCTGTCTGTACACACGCAAAACACAAAGAAAGAGGCAAAGATCATAGTGAGAAATCAGACACTGTAGACAATAATTCTTGTATTCTTCTTTATTTCAGAAATCTAATTGATACAAATCTGGCTCTTGCATCGGATAGATCTGGTCTCCATTGTTCTCTATCAGAGGCAGAACAATTACGAGAATCTATTAGTAAAGGAATACAGGAAAAAGAAATACTACAGGCCAAATTCTACAAGATTAAAACATTTAAAGATCTGACTGTAAGTTATTTATATATTCCAGATAATTCGAAATGTGAATAGAGAATTTGTTATTTTTGCCCCTTTCCTGTTATTAGTTTATTATTATTTTTGATTGTTTTCTATTTACAGGAACAGAAACAGAACCTAATTCGTGTTTTAGCCAAACAAAACTTAAATTCAAGATCTCGTCTTGATTCACAGCAAACAGAGGTAATATAGGAGATGGTTAATGAGTATATGTTTGGCCTCCGATCAGGATTGTCCAAGATGAAACCCGAGATGAAAACCTTTATGATTTTTCAATCCCAGTTCCTCACCTGTCAGTGTTGGTGCCTGTGGGCTAAACAAGAAAAGTGTGCCTTATCAGTCGAACGGAGAAAAATATTATGTCCACCAATGTACAGATAACGTGAATGTAAAAAAAAAACCATTGGCAATTTGAATTTGAAATGTAAAATTCCTCCCTCCCCATGCAAACGTAACCAATGATGTGAAAAATACCCTAATGTTAGAACCTAATTAACTGAAGTATTGTTGTGATGAATGAAGCCACAGTGGTTCAGTGAGTAGGACGTTGGCTCGCTAACCCGGAGTCCATGTGTAGGACGAGAAAGTTCATCAGGATTTACGGTGGTGTTCCCCCTTGTCAGTGGTGTAGGACGGAGGGCCTGGAAAGGGACAACGTATAGTCGGTCAGATGGGCGAAAAACAAAGGTCCCATGTACACATTGGCATGCACGTAAAAGAACTCTTGACAGTTGGAATTCGATGGCGTATGCCCTTCTTCATTAGCCCATTTCGGAGCAGAACAGTAGAACGATAAAGGCCTTGATTTTTTGATATATTTGGACTAAAAATATATTCAAACTAATTAAAAATTTGCTTCAAATCCCTCTCAAATCATTGTATTCACGAGAAAATACCCCAAGATATAAAAAATCTATTTTTAGAAGCCCTATTTGTCATGTAACTTGATTGAGGGAGGGCCCATTTTCAGAATGTATTTGTCCTTACTTATTGTCCATTCACAATACATATTGAAGTCTAAGTAAATTCTTGGATTATCTTCTGCTTACTTCTTTTTCTGATATTTAATTGCAGTGTCTGTTGTACGTGTAAACCCCCTCAATGTTTCCAAAACCGCCTAACCATTCGATAACGATACCCTGACATTATTGCCCAGTGCTTGCCTCATTGGTATTTTTTTTATGGAATCCAATATTTTTCTAGTAGGTTTGGGCATCCCTACTTTCCATATAAACAAAATTTGCCATACTTTTATTGGAAATTACTACCCTATAAATACTTTCGTGAGAATGTATCATTAAACCCCATTTCATTTCATTTGTTGTGATGAGACTTTAAACTCCATACAATTCTATTCTAAATTTTTAAATGAGTAAATCTAATTATGTATTGTAACAAAATATAGATAATGATGACATTACTAGTGTTTCCCATTCAGATATTGAATTTGTCATTAACTTTTTCAGATATCTAACTACATTAAGAATTCTCTAACTTCTCATCACTCAGATACCAAAACACTAACTGATGGTCTTAAAAACAGGGTATCACAAGAAATGGATAAATTCTCTACATTATCTCTACCGTATTTAATATACTTGTATCTAGATGGGTAAGTCTCTACATTATCTCTACATAGTCTAATATACCCGTATCTATATGAGTAACTCTCTACATTATCTATACCATATGTAATATACCTGTATCTATATGGGTAAGTCTCTACATGATCTATACCATATGTAATATACTTGTATCTAGATTAATATATCTGTATCTATATGGGTAAGTCTCTACATGATCTATACCATATGTAATATACTTGTATCTAGATGTGTAAGTCTCTACATATCTAAACCATGTTTAATATGCCTGTATCTAGATGGGTAATTCTCTATATTATCTCTACTGTATTTAATGTATGGTTCAGTTACTAAATCCCATTGAAACAATTTGTTTATACCTGTATCTAGATGGGCAAGTCTCTGCCTACCTGATTTTAATTGGACATGTTTTTACACCTTTTACAAATCTTGATTTTGTATAGGAACATATATTTTTCTCTCTATTTTCCAGTGCTAATAAAGTGTCTGGATTGGACCTGTCTATAAATCATTACCATCATCCAGCCTGTATTGCCTCCAGGCAACCATTACAAACTTTGATAAAACATTTGCACTTTCCGACTTATAAGGTATGATTGATTTAAGGACTAGTCTGTGAGATAAAGGGGGGGTGGGTGGTCGATTGAGTCCTGCGGCGTGGTTTTGTATCCCTGCTTGTATGTGGCAAGGAGTAGGGTCGCCTGTCTAGCCTTGTGGGTTTTTCTGGGTCCTCCGGTTTCTTCCCACCACTAAAGATCCTCCTGCGCTAGCGAATTATTGAAATAAAATTGAACCATATGTTAGTCCCGAAATGATATAGTTTGTGTTGAGTGGACGTTAAACCCCATTTCTCTCACTCTCTCTCTCTCTCTCTCTGCGATAAATATAAACACCAGTTTTGAAGAGTGTCATTGAAATAATTTAATTCATTGTTATGGGAAAATAAATACTCAAATATAAAATTTAAATACATTGAATGGAAGCTGTTGAATGGTAAAATCCTTGTTTTCATGTTTAGTTAGAGAGCTTTGTATAATGACATCATTATATAATGTTGTTATCCTTGCACCTGCTGCTTTTACTCCGTAGGCATTGCGATCTGTAGAGTTGGGACTATGATTATTCCTCTTTTGTTAACATCGCTTTTGTTGCCAGTCTCTCTCATCTTTCATGATAAAAATGATTTGTTTTTTGTTATAAACGGTAAATTGATCCCCGGCTTGTACATGGGAATTAAAACATGTATTTTCTCTGGGTTCTCTGATTTCCTGTCACATAGATCCCTGTACCTAGGCAACTTAATTTAATAATGATGTGCTGAAATGACAATTGACCCTAAATCCTAGTTCTCTCCCTTTCTCTCTCTAAACTATAAACAATGTTTTCAGGCACCAGAATGTTTGTTACCATGGTGTTTAAGTATGAAAACAGAAACAGATAGTTATAAAAGTTTAATGGTTTCACAGAATACAGCCAGTAGACGAGTTTATGGTCTTCAAGATAGAATAGATACCATAGAAAATATTACAGGTATGTATGACTGCGGGTTTTCATCTTGGAAATTAATAATATTTTTTTTTTATAATGATCAATTTTCAGTTCTGAATATTTTTAGTGGTCTATTGTGCATGTTTTAGATCGTAAGGTCTGTTAATGAATCAAGTGGTATGGTTTTAATCCAAAGCTTGTATGTGACAAGATGTAGGGTTGCCTGCCTATCCTCCTTCGTTTTCTCTATGTATGTCTAGTCTCCTTTTCTAAACCTGTCCAACCTCATGGGTTTTCTCCGGGTCCTCCGGTTTCCAACCTCTGCTAAAGACACTATGCACAAGCAAATTATTAAAATAAAATTGAACAATATATTAGTCCCATGGTCATGGACTTTAAAACCCATTTTTCTCCCCCTCCCCCCCCCGAAAATATTTGGTTCAACAGTTTACATTTACCTGTTCTCCGAACCTGGCATATAACATAAAATTCCATTATCTATAGGTATCTTCAATGTAGTGATTGTTTCTGTTAACCATACTGTTATTATAAACTCTTTGCATATAAATATGCCCTAGTTCAGCCCAATCTCAGTATCCCCAGTGGTACTGTTCTGTTCTACTCCATTCACCTCTGGGTCCATTCACGGGGTTTTCACGAATTCAAAATATCTGCCCTTGTTCGTAGCTTGATTATACGAACCAATCTTAGTTGCAATAAAATTTGAGTTACTTCCCTTTGCCACTAAATTGATCGATAAAATATAGCAGAAGTCAATCTGTTTCACAGAGAATTACGAGACTAGTAATATTTCTTTCAAGGATGACTGCCTTAACACGTGCCGTCACAGCACGCGGCATCAATCATTGGCTGAATGGCGCGTGCATCGTTTACATAAGACGTTACTGCTTCGGGCGAAAAGCTGCCTTTTAGTCATTTTAATACCAATTTACACTAAATAGGAAATAATTTTTACCTACAAATACGTCAAACGCCTTCATTTATTTTTCCAATACATAAAAAAAATGTTTTAGAACTTAATTTGTCGCAGGAATAAAGTTAATATTTCTGGCTCATTAAGTCGCATTGATGTCATCCTTATCAGTGATTGTAGCGGCCTAGCGGAAATTCACTGCTGATCAGTGTGAGCAGAAGTATCAAGGGTGGATAAGTTGACTATGTGTCTCCCTGGTGGATGGACCCAAAGGTTAGTGGAGTAGAAGAGAATGATATCATTTGAGATACCGAGAATGAGTTCAGTCTTGCTTTATATAAAATCTGTCCCAGGACCTGTTCAAACTTTCTACTATCTTCACCTGCTGAATTTAAACAGACCCCTTATAAGAATTTTTAAAAAGAACCTCATGTAGGAAGTTTTAAACAGATCCCTTGTAAGGGGTTTTAAACAGACCCCTAGTAAGGAGTTTCAAACAGAACCCTTATAAAAAGTTTGAAACAAACCACATGTAGGAGTCTTGAAACAAGCCCTATAGGCATAGTTTTAAACAGCTTTAAACAGATTCCATTTAAGGAGTTTTAAACAGACCCCATATAAGGAGTTTCAAACAGACCTTATATAGAGAGTTTTAAACTGACCTCATATAGAGAGTTTCAAACAGCTTTAAACTGACCTCATATGGAGAGTTGTAAACAATGTTAAACAGACCTATGACTTTCATTTTCAGCTCAAATAAAAGAAAATACTTTAGGTAAAACTTGCACTTGAAACTGTTGAATACACAAATTCACTTTTTTTATTATTATTCACACAGTTGTACAGTTTCTCATTTACCACAATTCATATAAAGGTTTGACAGTTCTCCTAAATATTGTTTTATTTATTTTCAGAGCACAATCAGTGCAGATACTTGTTTTGATCAACATATGTTAATGTTAAAGACACATTTGTGAATAAAAACTGTTTTATTTTGTTCATTTTAATAGCACAATATTTTATTTCATTCTTTTTATGCGCAAACAAATTATTGAAATAGAATTGTACCATGTTAGTCCCGAAATGACCTAGTTTTACCTGAGTATTTCATAACATCTGACGACACTGATTCAAGTATTGTACTATTATTGAGCCCTTGTTTATTGGTGGGGAGCCACGTTCGCTGAGTGGGTGAGGCGTTCGCTCTCTAACCCGGAGGTCCTGTATTCGATCCTGGTTTGCTTCCCCCATGTCTGACGGAGGACCTGACAACGTATAGTCATTCGGATGGTACGAAAACAGAGGTCCCGGTGTTGGCCGAGAAAGTTCATCTGGATTTTCCTACGTGGATTCTCCTTGTCTGTGGTGTAAGACGAAGGATCTGACAACAGTACAGTCATTCGGATAGGACGGAAAACCGAGGCCCCAACAACGTATAGTCATTCGGAAAGGACGAAAAACCAAGGTCCCAACAACGTATAGTCATTCGGAGAGGACGAAAGACCAAGGTCCTGTGTACACATTGACGTGCACGAAAAAAAACCATTGACAGTTGGAATTTGAAATAAGAGTAGACCATAGCCCTGCTGTGCGGGCAAAATTTCTCACATAGCAGGCTGCATGGCGATGCCTGTCTTCGTTAGCCCAGTCGCCTGTCCAACCTCGTGGGTTTTCTCCGGGTCCTCCGGTTTCCTCCCACTGCTAAAGACCCCTACGCGCAAGCGAATTATGTAAATAAAATTAAACCATATGTTAGTCCCGAAATGACCTAGTTTGTGTCGAGTGGACGTTAAACCCCATTTCTCTCTCTCTCTCTCTCGTTAGCCCAGTCAGAGCAAAACAGTAGGACTTAAACCCCATTTCATTTCATTTGTTTATTTAATAATTTTCTGATGGAATCAATTGTTTTTGATATTGTTATAATGAAATGTTTGTTTTTATTTTAGAATTGTGTAGTAAAGTATCAGAACATGATAAACATCAAATAGAAACATTATTACCTCTACTACAGAAGAGTATCACCCTGGCAACCAAAGGTTTAAAAGATTGTAGCCAATTAAATGAAGATATTCAAGCTTGGTAAGTTGAAACATTGTCAGAACTTATTCATTGGTGTAACATCCTGAGGGGAGGGGGGGGGAGTGGTTTAATGCGTGCGCAAGACATCAAAGGTCTGACATTGAGTCAAGTGGTGTGGTTCTGATTCCCCGCTTGAACATGACAAGGAGTAGGGTCGCCTGTCCAACCTTGTGGGTTTTCTCGGGGTCCTCCAGTTTCCTCCCACTGCTAAGATCCCCACACGAAAGTGAATTATTAAGATCTAGTTTGTGTCAAGTGGACATTAAAGCTCATTTCTATCCTACTTTTCTGTCCTACTTCTGCACCAACAAGGCTAATGAAGACAGACATATTTTGCCAATTTCAAAGGCCTGAGGGATACCTTAAACCTGTAGCCTGGCTTTAAAAGGACATTCGATGGCACAAAACACTTCAGATTGGATACACAGTTAGGCTGGGTTATCATTTCATTCCAACTGTCATGTTAATCTCACAGAAGAAACCTTTTTACTGTTTAATAATGATTGAATTTATATGTTTTTGTAGGATTGATCAACCAGCCCAGTTTTCTACTCCATGGCTGAAACATGATAAATACACATTTAAACAGTTACTAGAGAGATGGACTGTCTTATGTACCAGACTCCGACAAATACAACTACAGAAATCTGGGGATACATAAATTATTCCTAATATATAGTCCAGTCCAGAGTTCTCACACCTAACCATCTGATGGAAGAACAATTACTATTATTAATTTATTTATGCAGCGTTTCGAAGAGTATACTCTCAACGTCCCCTAAAGAATTCTCTTCGAATTAAAGCAAATTAGTAATTCTTCTTCCTTAGGTATGTGTCCAACTGGAGTTCATTTCTATCCAGGTACTAGTTGCCTCTGAGAGGTTTGTAACTTTATGGGCGATGCAGGATGACCATATAGAGTTGTTAATATTATTGAAATATTTTTTCACCTTACCTTAGTGTAAATATTTTCTGGTATATTTGTTAATGTATGATATTGTTAGTTATTATTAACTATCAATTGGTTTAAATGCATTTTATTACTGTAAAGTAAAAGGATTGGACAAAAGTTACATAAACATACAAAAACATCCTTTACTTCATAAGTACAAGAAATTATTCAAGGTAATAAAAGGTGCAAAATAATGAATTAAAATGGTGTTGAGGAATAAATCTCAAGATCGATGAAAATGATCATATGAAATAATGTTTGAGAATTTATTATCCCTATCAGTGCAAGAATTTTGAAATTATAACCCCATTTGCAACTGTGTTGCAGGACAATTTGTTGGTATATTTTGGTATATTGTGAGGAGTAATGATACAAACTGCACTTTATAGTTCAAAATTTCGTTTTACTTGCCTTCAACACTTCTGTTAGTCTCTGTCACCCAGAGCATCCTAATCTTCAATGTACGGAGGGTCTGGGTCTGTTGGGAGATGCTAATTGTAGGCCGGTTAGGGAGGTTGGCGAATTTCCGGAGTCCACAATGGCCGCTTTATATAATGAGTATTTTGGGGAATACTAACACCAATACTAATCATAATGATCAACCCGTGTCAAACATCTACCGTGGGTCAGATATGCTACAAATCGACTCTAACGTGTTCCACGCAGCCCAATATTACCCGGCTGCACTGGGAAGGACTGCCACCTCGCAAACTCATATAAATATTGATTTTTAGGGGGCCCTGGACGGGATCTTGTTCCTCATGCAAAATCATGGCTCACCATGCCAGTGTTACATATAAATGATCTAACTGGAAAGGGGCCATAAAATAGCCCTGTGTCCATTAGATCATTAACAGACTTGTAAAATTAGCTGAAATAAAGACATAACCCAAAACAAATTGTACGGCAAAAGTTATCTTTTGATTATCATTCAAAGTTCAAATTAGCGGCCAGGTTGAATTCATGCTATTAGATCTTTTCCAGGTGTCCGATTTTTGGAGAATTGTTTTTACATGCAGAATACCCTACTGAATAATAATCGTTAGATAACCTTTGGGATGCAATTTATTTTAGGTGCTTTTCTATATTTGCCAGCCTATTAGGGATAAGGTCCATTTTCCCTTTCAAAGATAGATATGTGATAAACGTTTCGTTATTGTTCTGTTCAGGTACTATTTTTTTAAGACACGTGGATGAAACAGGACACTTTGAATTATTTTTGAAAGGGTCTGGGTGGGAGTAACACATGCAAACATGTCAAGTACAAATCAATAACCACAATTCAAAAACTAAAACACATTTTGCTGACAGAAATTTTAATAATAAGTAAATTTAAAAAATATAAAAGTTTTATAGAAATTGTTGTTATAACAGTAACACTTTTTACATTTTAAAAATATTTTAGTTGGACGGAATACTATATAAATAAAAAGTTAAAAGTAAAAAACAAGGCAAGATAAACGTTCAAAGATTGAGGTCAGAAAAACATAATATATTGTATAACCTAGATATATGTTAAGTCTGCCATATGAAATGCATTATTCATAAAAAGTCTTAATATCACAGATAGAACTAAAAAAGGACGGATCTACATCTGATGGGAAAAACAACAATAAATTTATCAAACTAAGCCTAGGGCAAACAAGTTGAAGGAAATTTTGATCTCTGACAAAAAACTGTTGGGCTTTGGGAGACAAATATTTTCAGTCTTTGTGACATTCTTTCATCCAAAGTTTGAAAGATTTAAATCATCTAATATGCGCTTGGCTTTAAAAATACAAAAAATTACAGATCATGAAAGAATGGCAAAATAAAATAGTGGATCTACCATTTCCAAATAATGTCAATTAATTTCAAATATCAATAATTTTCAAATGCATAAATATCACAAAATTCATAAAATAAAGGCAAATCTATTTTGCGATATTTTTTTTCAAAAATAGGTTACAACGTATAGAAACAGATCTACAGTGCCGGATTTAGTCATAGTTTCTGAACTAAACAAGCTACAGGTAAGACCCAGCTTACAATTCACAGGGAGCTCGCAAAACTTCAGATTTCTTTTTGTTTGCTTTTCAAATGTTATTTGGCTTTTTTTTTGTGCACCGTGGTAGTTGCTAAAATGACTTGTGTAGAAATCCGACACTGCTTAAATATCACAGACTTGTTCTCAAATATAAAAAAAATCTCCATTTTTGATTGTACCTCAAATATAATATTATATATACAGATATCAGTAATAACTATAATTATAAATATAAAGGTTTAGCTATAACACAATCACTAAATATTTCTATTTTAAAGAAAATTGCCGAGAATCAATGCAAAAAATAGTGGACATTTCGGGTTTGTTTGATTGGAATCGATCCGGATTCGTTCTTAATTCAGCTAGTTTTTGTGGTCAAATAGAAAATACAGTACCAGATTCTAAACTATATAAGAATAAACTATGAGTTTGGATTCCACTATAAAAAAAATACCAACAATATATAAGTGCAAATTAAGTGCAAAGGTAATCGGATTCGGTTATCGATCAATCAAACACACCCTTCACATTATGCACAACGATTCTCTGGTCATTGATGGTGCGCGAATATTAACGTGTTCAGACTACAAAAAAAAGTGTTCTGGACGGATCGGAATAGATGAGGTTATATTAATACTTTACGCACGAGAAATCTGGAACCCACAGCTTGTTTGTAATCTGAACTCGTTAAAATGTTTTTAAAAAATTTCTTTCATTTAGGATTTGAACTTCAACTTGGATCCATGTCGATCAATAGGTAGGTTATAGAGTGTGTCTAATGGCGGAAGTCCTGCTGGAGTGCTGTTTCCTGAATTCTTGCACAGTCCGGTGAACGAATTTTCTGAATAGAACGTATTTTCAGGAGTTCTGTTATGAGGGAATCCTAAGTATTTGTGATGATTTCCACAATCTGTTAGAAGAAAAAGCAATATTACGAATACAAACACGATGATCAAAAAAATATACCTGACGCAATTTTAATAGTCTAAATTCATAGACTGTTGGGTCTCATAATTCTTAAAAGTTATAAAAAATATAGAAGCGTTGTAATCATGACTAATCTAAATACATATATTATAATTGTGACTAAACATAGGGTCGCAATTCTGACTCAACGCAGGGATATAGCAGTGTCTTAAGTCTGAGTCAACACAGGGGTAAAGGAGTTTCTTAATTCTGACAGAAGCAGTGTCTTGATTCTGACTAACAACAGGGGGTATAGAAGTTTCTCCCCCCCCCTCCCCATTCTGAATAGACACAGGGATACATCAGTGTCTTATTTTTGACTAAACAGATGGGTATAGCAGTGTTTTAATTCCGATTTAAAACATCAGTGTAGCAGTGTCTTAAAGATACATAATGTAAGATTATGATAAAGAGCTTGCCATTCTTGCTATAATAGATAATGTAAAATGAATAATTTGAAAATTTCATTCAAATTACTCTATTTCAAGCGAAGATATTAGCCTTTGAAGGCTGACAAGACGTGTGCAATAATTTCAACCACCGTACTGGATGTTTGAAACTAAGTCTCGCTCCTCCATTTTTATCTTAAACCAAAATATGGCTGAACTGTTTTAATCTATTTAATATCGGAGAAATCCGATGGATAAGATAATTAATGTCTAATTAATAATTTAGAAAACATTTCAGGCCTAAAGAAAGACCTGCAATAGGCACGAATTAGCTCTTGCATAATGTATATTTAATTCTGATCAAACACAGGGGAGACGCTCGAAAGTAAAACACATTTAAGGGGATTTGACTTATTTAAAACCAGTTTTATGTGACTCACCTTCTGTTTTAGTTTTTGGGTAGAAACAGCATTTCCAGACAATCAAGCCAACTATTATACCAATCAAGAGTATAGCCATTATAGCCAAGGCAGCGATTATACCTGGATGAAGACCTTCGTCATCTTTACTTTTAATAATCTTGAAAAGAAAACGACACGTTTTTAATAAGTTATACCTTTTTTCACAATCAAGCAATTATGAAGTGATATCAGGTGTTCTGGAAAAAGTAATTATGCCAGTCTCTCGTGCACTACATTGACACTACATATAGCAAATAGTTGGATTTTAGGTGCCGATGCCACTGGTTGGTGACATAACCGAGTTATTTCAATACCAAACATGTGTTGTTACACGTCTAATATTATAGTATTATAATATATCTTTTTTTATTAAGTGACTCGCGCTCCTAGGTCTTTAGCAGGCGAAAATCTACTAGGCTTATACAGGCGACCCTATTCCTTGTCAGGTTTACGCCAGGGATTGCAACTACTGTTTGAAGTAATGACAGTCTTTATGATCCAAAGCGCATGCGTTAGACCACCCAAACACCTAACTGGGTGCAATAAGTGTTATCTAAAACAGGAAGTGCCGTTTTATGGTGGTGGTTATTTCATATCAATTTTGTCTCATTCGTGCCCCATCTAATCACAGTTTGATGTAAATTTCGTTCCGTTTAATTTGATAAATTAGAGTAATGAGCCGAAAGATAAAACGAAACGAAATGAAATGGAATGGGTTTTAACGTCTTACTGTTCTGCTCCACTTTTCACCCTGCGCCCATCACCTTTACCCCTTTACAAAATGCCCTCGTGTAAAGACTATCCTATAATAAGAAAACGTTTAATTACCGGTCCACAGCTGACACCATAGAAAGATTGTCCATCCATCATCATATAAGGAAGCAGATTCAGCGTTTGGTTACCATAGTTGAATGATGTGGTATTCTCAACAGATGAACATAGGGAATACACCGTGGAGTTAACATCAGCTAGACTACCCTCTACTGTCATAGATACTATCACACTACCTGTAAAAGACAATGACCATTTGAGACTAAGATATATCTATTATGTTATATGAAGTGAAATTGGGTTTAACGTCCTACTTTTCGGCTCGGACAGCAACATTTCCCATCAAAATCAAATTGTCAAGAGTCTTTTTATGTGAACCCCGGTTTGTCATCGCACCATCCGAAGGACTAGACGGTTATTTATTTCCATACCCTCCACCATACACCATTGAAACTCGATAAACCCGAGGAACATTCTCGACCACCACCTGGATCGAACTAAGGACATCCTGGTTAGTAGTGA